CTCGGAGTCTGCCGCTGTTCGAGCCGGAGAGAAAGAGGACAAGTGTGCGGATGTCAGCTGAGTTTCACTTGTGGTTTTTATTGACAAGGATTTCAAAATAGAGAGAATGAAGACACAGCGGGCAAAATAATCTGGTTGTTTTGATAGTCGGCGAGGCGTTTTTGTTTGTGTAGGGCAGTTCATGTACGCAAGGCAATTTAAAGTGCTTAAAGTAACAGTTTTTTCATGTCAAGTCATCATAAAAGGGCCCTAATCTGTCAAAAGGCACTAATAAAACCTGCTCTTTTTGGATACTTCTTTAACTGATAACTGTAGTTCAGAGATATTTGGATTTCAAAATTTGTTTTACGGCCTCTAAATCTGGTTATTGTTGTCATTTCGATGTCCTGCCCTCCACCGTTTTTCCAATCAGAAAGTCTGTGATCCGGGCGCCAGAACTCCCAGTGTTCACTGGTAAAGTAAAGGTCTCGTTATGATTCTCAAATCATTAACGACAAAACAAGGAATAAAACCAGGATTTCTATCTTTGTGAAAAAGGTGTTGGTTTTAGATTTGTTGTTGTCAAAACTCTTGTCTATTCAGTTTTCATGTTCCTTAACACTAGAAAACCCAACCGAAATTGCCCCCTGTTTTGAGAAGAAGGAGCTAACTTGCTAGGTTGGCTGCTAACATTTGCATGTATTGATTTGCAAATGTAGGTAATGAGTTATAACAGCAGGGGGCTGGGGTGGGCTTTGTTTATTCGTGCGGGGGAGGGAGAGCTGCAAGAGAGTACTACAGTAGTCTGAGACCACAGATTAGGGGTGGGCGATATGGCCTAAAATTCATATTGCGGTATAATTTGGGTCACAGACGGTAGACGGTATATATTGCGGTATAATTTGGTGTGTGAATTTCAATATAGGTCTAGCAGGTTCTTGCATAAAATAGTCAAGATGGTTACTTATTTATATATTAGAATCTAGTATATATATTTTTTGAGTTGTGAGACAAATGACAAGACAAATGCTGTAACATACAGTATTTATGTGTGTTACAGTAAAGACCATTTACTGTAAAAGCAATTTTCAAAAAGAAAAGAAAAACATATGTATTCATTTAAAAAATAGAAACACTCACAAATGTTGAAATCAAAGCCTGCAGCAGTTAGACATGGTCATTATTTATAGTGTCTGATAGTTTTGTGCAGGTACATGACTTCAGTAAAAGCTATTGTTTGTTTACAAAGCTAGTCTTGCTATTTGTTGACGCTCCCTAAGTGCTTTTCTTTGCGCTTGCAGTGAACTGGATGATTCAATGGATTTATGTGCATTAAAACAGCGCATTGGATTTGAACAGTTGATGTAAATGGTCATTTTGGCACAATTAATTTTGTTTAACAAAGTAGCTTTCGTGAGCTATTGAGCTATCTGACGCTAACTTTCCCAAACTTCTGCTGTGATGCTGCGGACACGGCACACGCTGGCGCTTCGAGCCTACGCCCCTTTGACACTGATTGGCCCAAAGGTAGACTTAAACTGTGATTGCTGTGTGTGTATTTACCTCTGCTGGGGCCGCTGTGACAACAATACAGAGACAGAAACACTGTGTGAATGCCGTGCTGCTGTTCGCTGTTTCCAGTGGTGTCCAATAGTACTAGGCTAATGCTAGGCTAATAGTGCTAGGCTAATGCTAGGCTAATAGCGCTAGGCTAATGCTGCTGAATGCCGGTTTGTTTTGGTCCTTTCTGCTGGCGTCAGAGCCTGCGCAATTTGATGACATAATGACCTATCGCAATATGCCGGTATAACAAACATCTCTACCGTGGGCCAAATTTATATCGCATACCGCTTATACCGTTTATATCGCCCAGCCCTACCACAGATACACATGGATAATGCAGAAGAGATGCCATGGCAGTGCTGTGTACCCTGAGAATGCGCTGTATATATGTTGTAATCAGTTTTTCTCAGTGTCTTTGGTGCATTTTTCACATAATTCTTCACATTTTAACAACAGTTTGTGCATTTCTCAGAACAATGAGTGCAAACTGCAAAACCTCATGGATAACCTGCTAAAAAGTCACTTTCTCAAAATGAACTTAATTCCTCAAAAGAAAGTCTTCATGTCAATGAAACGGTCTGTGTCTCAAAAGAATAAGTCCTGACATCAGTGTTTATGAACAACAGTCAAATGATTTAGTCATGTTTTCATTGTGACTGTATTTAGTGATACATATGTATGTACTGTATGTTCACATATTTACTGCTTATGCTCTTTGCAATTCTACAGCATTCTGCAACAAAAATAGTACACATACAGTATTTACGTAGAAAAACATACAAAAAATCATTACGGTAGAACCTCCACAACATTGAGTCGTGTGTGACATCATCGCGGCAGTTTCTCCTTTGAACACTTTACAAATGCTTTTGGACATGTATCATTACTTTCATACAGTTCTCTGCTGTTTTATAACATTAACATTTGCTTCTGTCCTGTCAATCAGAATGAAACATACTTATCACGACTGAATAGTTTCTGTAAAACCAGTAGTCCTCATTTTATCGCTTTGGTCATCACATACAAAACTGTTCAAAACCAAAATCTGTCAAACTAATTTCATACATTACTTTATCTTTTTATATCCAGAAAATCTTTCCTAATTTCGAATTTCAGCTTCACTCATGACGAGGTGTGTGTTTTATTGTTTACATTTGTCACAGTTCTACCATAATGATATTCTGTATGTTTGCTCTATGTATGTGACTGTATTTCTGTTGCACAATGCTGTAGAATTGCAAAGAGCATATGCAGTAAATATGTGAAAGACATACAGTACACAGACATACATCGAAACACATACATGCACAAACACACACACACACAGTAAATACATACATGCACAAACACACACACACACACAGTACATACAGTATAAATGTTCTTTTACTCTCACTAAATACAGTTGTGTGTAACTTTACTGTAGTTTTCAGCTGTACAGTGCTCACCAAGAGCAAATTTTTTGCTTTGAAAACACAGAGAGTAAAGTGTCACAATGAAAACGTGACAAAGTCATTTGACTGTGTTGTTCATACTCCATGTTGTTAAGACTTATTATTTTGAGACAGACAGTTTCCTCGACATGAAGACTTGCTTTTGAGGAATACACTTTTCATTTTGAGAAGGTGATGCACTTTTGCAGGTTATCCCCAAGGTTTTGCAGTTTGTACTAATTGTTCTGATAAATGCACTAACTGTCGTGCAAATGTGAATAATTATGTGATAAATGCACCAAAGACACTGAGAAAAACTGTAAGTAGCATATTTATTTTGTAAACAATGTAAATGTATACATTGAATGACGTTGCTCGTTTGTTTTCTTTCAATTCACTTTATTATTTTCATTATTATTTTTTAACTAAAGTCAGCATGACACTAGATTTAACTCATTTTAACTAATCAGATCCTCCCTCTCCCGAAGAAGACAAAGTAAAGTGGTTGAGCAACTTCAGCTCAGCCTGTGATAATGGCCTTATTTACATAACAAAGTTGGCCGTTCACAGGTGATTTAGTTTGTTAGCTAAAATCCTTGGAGTCATTTGGCACCGTGGTGGGCTTTTTAGGTAGAAGTGCCAAATGGCACCTCCATGGGTTTGCTAGTTAAGGATTCGTCTGCATATCTGGCAACCTGAGTCAGGGAGAGTGGTTGCTGTACCACGTGTGGCCAAATTTTGACATACTGCTCCTTTAACAAAACAATAAAATAAACATACAAGGCATTAAAATAATAAATAATACACATAAATAATCACAATGTATTAACAAGGGTGAATATACTATCCCTCCTTGTATGCACTGCTAAAAAAAAGCTGTTTTTAACCTGGATTTGAAGCCTGTTTCACATTTTCAGGGAGACTGAGCACCGGCAGGAGGCCAGTCCCGGTGCCCCTCAGAGTCCTAGTTGTTTCATATTGCACTAACATGTCACAATTTTAGACTTTCCGGCGTTGTTTACATTGGAAATCTCACTTCCTGTTTCTCTTCCCCTTCTTCCAGGTCGCAGCAAGGTGATTGGTGCAGGACAGTCATGTGACAAGCCCTCACCCTCTTCAGCCTTTGTCACCCCTCTACGTCAGGTGATTATTATTCATGTTTGCATTTCATTAACAAGAATGACCTCAGAAATGTTGTTATGTGATGATTTTAATGAAGTTGAGCGTGAATAATGTCTTAAAACCAGAGAAACTTAGTCAAAATGGCAGATATTTCCAACTTTTTTGTCATTTCAGATTCAGTTTATATGCAAAACTCAATTGGAATAAGTGTGCAAAAGTCCCCCAGACAAGTATATAACACAAAACAATACATATTTAGCGACTTAAATCAACATCTTGTCGCAATGCAGACCTTCAAAACCAACTCTATAATCCAATTTGTAGATTAGCTTGTATGCTCAATGCTAAGTGTTGCTATGGTGACGCTTCAGTCGGAGTGGATATGGTACATGGTATAATTAAATGAGGTTTAAACAGTAGTTAATGGTAGTTTGCATTGGAATCCTCACTGACCACAATATGTATGTGCTTCTATTACCGTATTATTCGGACTATAAGCCGCACCTGATTATAAGCCGCAGCCTTCAAAATGCAGGAAAAAAAACTGCGGCTTTTAGTCCGGAATTTACGCTACTTACATGTGGTTAAAATCTCTAAAAAGGCGCCAATATTTCCACTTTGACTTGTGTATGTTCCACCTGCCGTTCACTCCTATATATGTATTTCTCTCTGTTTTGTCAAATATGTTCCTTTTCATTGCTCTGTTTTCACATGGAAAGAGTAGATTTGGTTATATATATATTGTTTTTTTGCTGCCTGTAGAAAACCACACACTCACGGTGAAATCTCAGACGTATAATTTGTGATGAACTGATAAAATGTGTGTGTTTGATGTGTTTTGTGTCCAGACAGTGTAGAAGTCGTTGAAGTTTCACAGTGACCTGCTCCCTCCAGCTGCGGGCGATGCCTCAGGTAACAAAACGCCAAAAACTCAGATTAAAAACACGATTGTGACAGATTTGATCGATGTTCAAACTGCCTGCATTTGGTCGACTGCTTCTGTCGTTGTCAAGTTATTGATTACAATTTAGATCATGTGGTATACTAAAAGTCGGAGAGTGCATACCCCGCCCAAAGGCAGGTTTAGAGCCAAAATTTAAATGGCGTTTTTTTGTATTGCCACATCCTATCCTAAACAAGACACGCACACAGACACACACACACACACACACACGTATATATACGCAAATACACACACACATATACTGTATATATATACTAACACACATATATGTACAAACACACATACAAACTCTCAAACTCTCACACGCACTCATATATACACATACACACTGAAACACACACATATATTCACATACACAGGCACATATATATACACACATACACACACTAGCACATTCACACACACACTCATATATACACATACACAGGCACAAACATATATATACACACACACACACACACACACTCTCACACATATACACGCTCACACATACATATGCATACACTCACACACACACGCACGCACACATATATATACACAAATACACACACATTTATATACTAACAGACAGACACTAATATATTTAAAAACACACATACACACACACGCACACTCTCACACACACACATATATACACAGGCACATATATATACAAACACACACACACACACACACACTCTGAAACGTTGATATTTAGTCCTGACTCTGGGCACCAGCAGGAGTCCAGTCCCTGTGCTTTAAAAACACATGTCCACGTAATAACATTAAAAAACATATTTATTTAGTTAAACTTTCACCTTCCCTTTGATCCATCTCTAATCAGTGAATACGTTTGAGTTTCTGTGGGATTTGGACTGATGCGTGTGACCAAATACACATGTCCCACAGGTGAAACATAATTATCTCTCCACCTACACACAATCTGCATATTTACGTAACCGAATATTACAAGTTTGTACCGAGGCTGTCGGTCAAACTGTAGATATTTATTCTGGAGAAACATGTTCCGTGGAAGCAAACGTTTTCATTTGCCTTGGTCTGAACCCAGGGTGGATTAGATTCAGACTTGAGTGCAGCAGTTTGGAACCGTCATATAGACCTGGGCCTGTTCACATAAACAACATGGATTGGGTTAGTTTGGGCTCATTCGCACTGAGCAAAAACACAAACTTTTTTGCCCCAAAACTTGAATCTACACTGGTTCACACGGCAAGATTGGAAAATTGTCTGCAGGTGACCCATGCTTTAATATTGATATTGAAGCATTTACAGCTAGCTAAGAAACAAAGCAGATACTTATTTTGTATATTTTGTGTGCTTCCTGTGTTTCTTACTACTGTCTTGTGTGTGTGTGTTTTTTTAATTCCTCTTCTCTCTTATGTGTGTTATTATTAATTCCTCTTCTTTCTTGTGTGTGTGTCTTCAGCCCGGTCTGAGTGGGATGGAGCCCATTTTTGGGGAGGCGTACGGGGGACACAGGGCCTTGCTCAGCCCGTACCCTCTGGCCATGTCCCCCCACGGAGGACGCACCGACTACGACCAGGTGAGGCCTGAGTCCTTTTGTGAGTCATTCCTTACTGATCCAGGAGGGTCTAAGGACAGCGCTGATCCAGGACATTTAAGATTTTTTATTAACCTCTTTTAAATCACTTATTAAAACCCTGCACTTATATCAAACAGCTTTTAACTGTGAGTTTTAAACTTACCATCCGTACACTCCGGTCAATCATCATTTCCTGCATGTAACGTCTGGGTCTGGTCCCTGTGTTTGCGATTACAATCTGTTCCACCTATTCCACCCGACCAATCAGCGAGCGCGGGAGGCGGGTGTTGTAGTTAGTTGTGGGTGACGTCAAGAGTTTGCGTTGAACGGGCAGGTTGTAGTTTGGTAATGACAAAAAATGCGATAGTAAAGTAATCCGGTCCGGTTCTATCAAGAAATTGAAGCCGGAGCAAGAGGAATGTTTAGCAAATGTAATCGCTGGTCAAGACTGTGGCGCTACTCCTCACAGGCTCCGTTAGCGGCAAAGGAGATGGCTAGGCTAAATGCTAAATGCTAACAACTCACTCGGGCGCATTACCTACGTCGCGGTAAACTCAGAGCCAATCGTTTCAATCTGCAAAAGGAGTTAACCCCTCCCACCTGTAAACAAAGCTCAATGAAGCACCTCCAGACCTTAGTACAAAATGTAATTTGTACTATGGTGTGGTACGACCAGGCTAGTGATTTAGAGCTACGCAAGTGATTTAGAGCTACACAAGAATAAATGTAATTGAATTGAAAAAACAGATCAAAATGGCAATATAGATACACACCCACATACAACAATGTAATAATAAAACGCTTAAAAAAAAGGAGTTTTATTTCCCACTGTGCTCTTAGATGCATCTGCTGTCCTTGTCTCAGTAGTGTCCGAAAGAAATGGTTCAATCCAGTTTTGCCGAACTTGATTTTAACTCTGGGTTTACATGTGTCCAGCTCAATCTAATTGAATGTCAGTATCAACAAGTTTTTACTAGTGTCTTGTTTTGTACTCAATGTATTTTAACAGTTTTCTGTCTCTCAAAATGAAATATTTCGCAGTGAACTAAATTCAGTGGCATTCAGTTCTCATGTTTATAATACATTTTCATTGTAAAGTACCCAGCTGGTCAGTCTTTCATAAATCCCCCGTGTCCCTCCAGTCCGTGCTGCTGATGTTGGGCTCCCCGGCGTCTCCACGGAAACGGCCTTTTGAGTTGCTAAGCGATCTGGTGGATGACGGAGGGTTCTGCGAAGACCTCCAGGCCGAGAGGTGGGACGTGTCTGCGCTGGACGAGATGACGCGCTTCACCAAACCCGGCCTGGGCATGGGAGGGGAGCTGCTCACCGGCACCGAGGTACAGAGAGAGGGAGGGAGAGGGGAGGGAGGGAGGGAGGGAGGGAGAGGACGGGGGAAAGAGCGGGGGAGAGAGAGAGTGGGAGGGAAGCTGCCCACCGATTCCGAGGTACAAAGAGAGTGAGGGGCAGAGAGGGGGGTAGGAAGATAGAGGGGGAGACAAAGAGAGAGAGAGGGGTGATAGAGAGGGGAGGGGGAGAGAGAGGAGAGTGGAAGAAGGGAGAGAGACAGGGGTGAGAGAGAGAGAGGAGAGTGAGAGGGGGGAGAGAGAGGACAGAGAGGGGTGAGAGAGTGAGAGGGGGGAGAGAGAAGAGAGAAAGGGGAGAGAGAGGGGGAGATGGGAGGGAGAGGGAGTGAGAGAGGGGGGGAGAGAGAGGACTAGGGATCACTAAAACATATCTAACTTATTAGACCTTATCATGTGAATATATGAATAGGTTGCGTTCCTTTGACGTCACAACATGTATGGGAGCTACCTGGGAGGGCGTGGCGAGCTACTGGTAGCTCTTGAGAAATAGGTTGGAGCCACCTGAACTATTCGCTTATTTATTTTCTCATAAATGTGTCTAGAAGTGGTGATACTATTCCAAAACATGTGCAGGATGTTGGCAGTAGAAATGACTGTCGGAAGTATCTATCAAAATCTATCAAATCCATCACTATAAGGCCAGACCAATCAGATGCCTTCGTTCGTCGGGGAAACTCCAGCTTGCCTTAGCAACCATCATAGCAACACGTCTGGCTAACTCCATCGTAACAAAATAATAATGATAATAATAACGTTTATTTCGAGCAAATAAGTGAACAAGAAACTATTGTAGAATGTCAAAATTATAAATGTTATATACACAAGAGAAGAAGAATATACTTATTAAATCCCGCCCCTGGTTTCCAAACGCCCATATAAGGAAATTGGCTCCAGCTAGCTTACGTTACAATCGTCTTCTTCCACATTAAGGCTAACACTACGGTCCATGTTTTAGCTTCAAAATCAATTGCATTTTATTTTTTGTGTGTTTTTTTTTCTTTTTCTGCCAGGTTTTCTCGGAGGAGACCGTTCTGATTGGTCGACTGGGCCGGAGTCGAGAGGAACAGGAAGAGGAAGAGCAGCGAAAGAGAAGCACAACCAAATCCGCCGCCACCCCTCCCCCTCCCACGGCGCTGTCACAGAACGTCCCCAACGCCACGGTGAAGGAGCGCCTCAGTCCCACCACAGACGGACAGCTACACGCACCAAATGTAGGCGTTTGGACACTTCTGCACCATTTTTTTATATCAGGCCCATCCGTCGCCATGGTGACGAAGAGCCCATTCACACAAGTGGTGTTTTTACATTAGGTTTGAACAATCGACATTTGAAAAACCAATATGAATTTATTAAGAATTTGGGTTTATTATTGGAAAAATATGTTAAGAATCTTCTGAAAGTAAAATATGTTTGATTCATTTCATGTAAAGTGAGATTTTATAATGTTATAGTTGTTGAATAATATATAAAAACATGTTTAAATGGACTGTACGCCACAATATTAACGTTATAACAGAGAGACCAGAGAGAGACCAGAGAGAGACCAGAGAGAGACCAGAGAGAGAGAGAGACCAGAGAGAGACCAGAGAGAGACCAGAGAGAGACCAGAGAGAGAGAGAGAGACCGGAGAGAGAGAGATCAGAGAGAGAGAGACCAGAGAGAGAGAGACCAGAGAGAGAGAGACCAGAGAGAGAGACCAGAGAGAGATACCAGAGAGAGAGATACCAGAGAGAGAGACCAGAGAGAGAGAGACCAGAGAGAGAGAGACCGGAGAGAGAGAGACCAGAGAGAGAGACCAGAGAGAGAGACCAGAGAGAGAGACCAGAGAGAGAGACCAGAGAGAGAGACCGGAGAGAGAGAGACCGGAGAGAGAGAGACCGGAGAGAGAGAGACCAGAGAGAGAGACCAGAGAGAGATACCAGAGAGAGAGACCAGAGAGAGAGACCGGAGAGAGAGAGACCAGAGAGAGAGACCAGAGAGAGAGACCAGAGAGAGAGACCAGAGAGAGAGACCAGAGAGAGAGACCGGAGAGAGAGAGACCGGAGAGAGATACCAGAGAGAGACTAGAGAGAGACAAAAAAGAGATGAGAGACCATCAAGAGAGAGATCAAAAAGAAACCAGGGAGAGAGACCAAAGAGAGAGACCAAAAAGCGAGAGAGACCAGAGAGAGAGAGACCAAAGACAGTGCGACCAGAGAGAGAGAGAGAGATCAAAAAGAGACCAGGGAGAGAGACCAAAGAGAGAGACCAGAGAGAGAGAAAGAGAGTGTGACCAGAGAGAGAGACCAGAGAGAGAGAAAGAGAGTGTGACCAGAGAGAGAGAGACCAGAGAGAGAGAAAGAGAGTGTGACCAGAGAGAGAGAAAGAGAGTATGACCAGAGAGAGAGACCAGTTGAACCCAGGACCTCTCCACCATCTCACGTGTTGTTCTTTTGTTTCCTCAGGAGCGAGTGGCGCCGCCGCTGCTGGTCCGGGCCGTGGAGGTGTACCAGGTGGCTCAGGACGAGGAGCTGACCCTGGAGCACAACTACTCGTTAGGTCAAGGAGGAGACGCAGAGATCGGAGTGAGTCTGGAGGAGGTGAGGACTGAGCCGGAGCCGAGCCGAGCAGAGGAGAGGAGCCCAGAGGAACCTGAGGAGCAGAGGAGAGACTCAGAGACCGAAGAAGAGGAGGAGGAGGAGGAGGAGGAGGAGGAGGAGGAAGAGGAGACGGCAGCGGAGGCAGAACTCACCAGCTCGTCTGAGAGTGAATGTGGTGAGTGCAGAGGCCAGGCTTGTTCTGGTCCACGGCCACAGCTGTTTTTAGGCTTTCTGGTTTTACTAAGGTTTTCAAAGAGTAGTATCTATATATTTAGAGAGAGAGAGAACAGAAAGAGGGAGAGAACAGAGAGAGAGACCGGAGAGAGACCAGAGAAAGAGACTAGAGAGAACGGAAAGAGAGAGAGAGAGAACAGAAAGAGAGAGAGAACAGAGAGAGGGAGAGAACAGAGAGAGGGAGAGAACAGAGAGAGGGAGAGGAGACTAGAGAGAATGGAGAGAGAGAGAGAGAACAGAGAGAGAGACCGGAGAGAGACCAGAGAAAGAGACTAGAGAGAACGGAAAGAGAGAGAGAGAGAACAGAAAGAGAGAGAGAACAGAGAGAGGGAGAGAACAGAGAGAGAGACCGGAGAGAGACCAGAGAAAGAGACTAGAGAGAACGGAGAGAGAGAGAGAGAGAGAACAGAAAGAGAGAGAGAACAGAGAGAGAGAGAGAACAGAGAGAGAGACCGGAGAGAGACCAGAGAAAGAGACTAGAGAGAACGGAGAGAGAGAGAGAGAACAGAAAGAGAGAGAGAACAGAGAGAGGGAGAGAACAGAGAGAGGGAGAGAACAGAGAGAGAGACCGGAGAGAGACCAGAGAAAGAGACTAGAGAGAACAGAGAGAGAGAGAGAGAGAGAACAGAAAGAGAGAGAGAACAGAGAGAGAGAGAGAACAGAGAGAGAGACCGGAGAGAGACCAGAGAAAGAGACTAGAGAGAACGGAGAGAGAGAGAGAGAGAGAACAGAGAGAGACCAGAAAGAGACCAGAGAAAGAGAGAGATCAGAATGAGAGACCAGAGAGAGGGAGAGTCTGTGGTGTGGACTCTCCGGGTCTGCTGTGGTTCTGCTCTGACTCAGACTAGTCCTGGTCTTGGCCTAGCGCCTCGTTAGTCTCACGTTTATTATTTGTGGCGTCTGCTGCCGTTCCATCCGATAAACGTATACTTGTCCAGTCTTTCTCACTTCCCGGTTTAGTTCTGGTTTTAGCTATTCTGAGTTTTTAACCACTTTTCGACCCTTCTATTAATGCTAATGCTAACACAGTATGCTAATGCTAACGCAGTATCTATACAGCTACATATTCCTTGCACTTGAATACACAGAAGTTTATACTTGCTTCTTTATTGTGCTAAAGTTGGAGATTTGATACAAGTCTTTCTCACTTCCTGGTTTCGCTCTGGTTTTAGCTTTTGCATGTTCTGTGGGTGTTTCCATAGACTTCCTGCTCTGTTAGTGTCAGATTCAACATTCTCGATCATGGGTCTCCAACCTGTGGCTCAGGGGCTACCATTAGCTAGCCACCCCCTTCCAGGTAGCTCGCCAAAGGATTTAGAAATGGACAAATCAAATAATATACTTAATATTTCAGATTGTATTATTCATTATTATTATTTATCATTGTAAATGCACTGACTTTGTAGCCCTAGTAACACATATGCGATGATAAATTATGATTATACCAGATTTTAGCCTTGTTCACGCTGATATATCACCACATTTTTCCGACGGCCGCTTTAAGGAGTAGCTCTCTGGCTTTATCGTCTCGGGAAAGTAGCTCTCTGGTGGAAAAAGGTTGAAGACACCTAGGTCATGGGTCTCCAAGCTGTGGCTCAGGGGCTAGCATTAGCTATAGCCACCCTCTTCAAATGTCACATGTTTACTACTATCCAGAGCACTAATACATCATGATAGCTTGTTTTCTGGGTATTGAACTGCATTGAAAAGAAATGCCACAGAAGTTATCAATCATTCAAATTTGGCTAGATTATTTATAAAACAACAAATAATACAATAGCTAAACCAGGCCTGACATGAGACTAAAGCTGGTCTTTCCTTTATTTATTCTTCTAAGAACGTCGAAATAAAAACACAAATTCCTGCATTCATTCTAGCTCACAAATATGTTTCTTTGTCTCAGCTGTCTGCCATTTTTGCCCCAAAAAATTCTCCAGGGAAAATGTTGGAGACTTCTGTTCAAGAGGCTTAAAATGTGTGTGATTTTACGCTCAACATGATTCTGGTGTTTGGATATTGATACAATCTTTGTTAGCCCAAGATTCGACCAATCAGGCGCCTTCTCTCCCCGTATTGAAGGGGAATGGACCAGACTTGCTCCTGATTGGCTGTTCGGTTGCTATGAGAGAAATGGGACCAATCAGAGCAGGTCTAATCAGCTTCATTCAGTGGAAGGCCGACACCTGTCTCCATAGATATAACAAGAACAAGAGTCTGAAGGCCAATTGTTGGTTGGTTCTGCTCAATTTCTGCTTTTTTTTATTATGTTTGAAAAATGGTTCATTGGAATTTTGTGTTTTTGAGTTGTGTCTGAGGCTTGAAGCTGCGAAAGTGATGGAAAATAAGTCAGAAATTGCTCAAATTTGGCAAAATGTGTCTTATTTTGAGCACATTGACTGCCTTTAAACAGGATTTGCCAAAGGGACAAAGCAAAATGATCTTGTTTTTAAAAAGAGATAAGAAAAGTCTCCCTTGGAATGAGAAAATAAAGCAACAGTTCTAGAAAAAAGACTAAATGGCTTTGTCCCGTTGGAGAATCTTGTTTTAACACTGTTAGAATGAACTCAAATTAAGACAAAAATCACTCGATTCAAGCAATTATCACCACATATTCTATCGTTTTTTGCAGTGTATGTCATCTAAGTCTTGTAACTAGTTCCTTTCTCTCCATCAAGGTATTTTTAGGCCTCTGTCACATAATTGGATCAGCTTTTTCAGACAGAAAAGTGAAAAAAGGGCGGACCAGTCTCACTCAGCCAATCAGCTCTCAGCCCTTAGCGTCAAATAGTGACTCAAGGGGCTCTTACATACAAGTGTGCAAAAATATTAAACATTTTCTGTTGGGCCATCAATATGTATTATTAAGGAGGCACAAACGTCTTGCTTCAATCAATATTTTCGTTTATGGCAAAGCAAGGCAAGTTTAATTGTAAAGCACAGTCCATACACAAGGTAAGTTACTGCACAAAACAAGATACAAGGCGTGTAAACCATAAATAATCCCAGACAAACATCAAACATCAACAAATATGGGAATTCTCCTCTATAGCAAGACACTGGACGTCATTACCGTGAACAAGAAAAGTCTTAATAATAATAATAATAATGTGGACCGGAGAGATTGTGATGTGGACTGTAGGGTGAGGAGGTATTCAGGTATTCTGGAGCGTTGCTGTGAATGAGTGAGTGGAGGTGTATGGGGAGGTGTATGGGGAGCCAGTGGAGTTTACGGAGGACGGGGTCGAACTTGGGTGTCCTAAAATTCGTGTTTTTTTTTAGCCTTATAATAAAATCTGTTTAGCCTTTAGCCGGTTAAATCCATTTACAGCTGGAGTTGGAAGAAAACTTGGCATTGTGAGATCTCCCTTGTTGCTGGGATATAGCCCCGCACTGAAATCATGCAAAATCTGTAAACTTAGAGAGGCATGTTGCTGTGCATTGGCTCTCCCTGGAGTCATTCTGTTATGGATGTATTCAAAAACCGAACCAAAATAGTGCAAAACATGGACGCTCTCCTGGGAGTCCGATCTGCCCACGGAAAAGTATTCAATTCAGGTTTCAATTTGATGTGAATTAATCTACGGTGGAGTTTTGGCTGCGGTGGTTCCTTTGTTAATACTATGAAAGAGACTCAGACAAAATCATATTTTTTGGAGTTTTTAACCACGTTGCACTTATTTAACCCGTGTTAGATCCATGCTGATATCTGTTCAACTATATCTTCTTTGCACCAGAATATACAGCATTTTACACTTGCTTCTTTATTATGCTAAAGCTAGAGATTTTATATGTTTTTGCTATAGAGTTATTGTTCATTTATCCTAATTCCTTCTGTTCTGTAACTGACGATGCAACACTGAAATTTCCCTTTTGTGAGACAATCTTTTAACTAATCTTAATCTATGACATCACGCTCAGAGCAACCTTTAAAACAATTTTTGTGCGTGTGGTGTAATTACAAACTACTACACAATCACATATAGCTGGGTTTGCAGCTGGTAATATTCACATTTGAAAAACAAAAACAAATTCTACACCTCCCTCTGGTGGGAGAATAAGAATTGTTTAGTTTCAACTTTATTCGAAAGGAACAAAGCTCCGCAACTTTAAGCTCAAAGACAGATATGTTTTGTACCAGATTATAGCGACACATCAAAGCTCAGTTGGTAGAGCAACAATGTAATTCACAGCTTCTGCCACAAGAGGGAGATGTTTTGTGGCTGTAAATCCTTCATTTAGCCATTAAACATGTTTATCAATATAGCTTTCTACTTGAGAACCAGATATTCTCCAGAATGTGTGAGGACATGTTAGTTTTGTACGTTTCCCACTCATGACCTGTGAAAGAGAATAAACAGAGACAATAAACTGCGTTCTCTGTAATCCATTAATAATACAAGCTTCTGGAGAGTTCCTCAGCTCTGCATCAATCCCTGTGTGAAGAAAAAACAATCCATTATTCATCGTTATTGTCACAAGTAACAACAAAACTACATTTAGGACATGAATCAATCATTAGCGAAGCGTTGGTGTCGTTCATTCCACAGTAATCGTCAGCGTTGGTCTGAAAACCTGCATTATCTCAGTTTCCACGATTACTTCCACGTCTGTGACCGCGTTTACCACAGAATCCACTTTAATTATATAGCGCATTTTATAAAACAAGTTCCCTAAGTGCTGCACAGAGACTGAAGTAACTCATTTATATTTAGGCCTGTCAGCTTTATGTGTATGTAAAAAATTGATATATTTTGTAACATATTAACATATTATTAACATAACATATTAAGAAGATGTATGAAATAAAAACAATAAAAATAATAAGAAAAAATATAAAACACAAGTCTTGCAGTGTTAAAAGCCAGAGAGTAAACGTGGGTCTCGAGCATAGACTTAAGTGAAATGTGTGTTGTGTACCAAGTGTGCACGGTGTATAAATGT